ACGTTTCCCCACTTTAAAACAAAACTAACATGGTGGTTCCGTGCCATGTTAATTTGTTTTTACAAAAGTTGCTTGTTACGACTTTTTTTACTTTACAAAGCGCAGGCTATTTTAATAATTGTGATCAATTTGAGCCGTCAATCCCGGCGCATGCGCGCTTCATTTGCAGTCATGACGCTGAGGGTAAAAATCCTGCAGCTCTGACTGCAGGATTTTTACCCTCAGCGTCATGAGAGGGACTCCTGTGGGAGAACGAGGTTGGGATGGGGGAGGCGCCCCACGGCAAAGTAGGAACAATACATGCTTTCACGTAAGAGTATCCAAAAGCCGCCAGTGACACTGTAAAAAGTCGCCAGATTTGTCACTAGTCACTTTTTTGAAAAATAGTCGCTGGAGGGGTCTGAAAAGTCGCTGAGTTGGCAACACTGCACCTGCAGCGCTGGCTCGCTCTGTGGTATTTTTTTTTTCTCCCCCCGTTTCAGTCAAGTGGCAGTGATGACGGCGGCGGCGGATGACGCATTAATCGCGCAACACAACTAATCGATGATGAAATTCGTTGCCAGCACTTTTAAAAGTCGATTTTTATCTATTTTATCGATTCGTTGTTGCAGCCCTAATTGAAATTGAATTGAATTGTTTTGGAGAAAGGAGAACTAAAGATTTACTTGACACCATAGGCTGTATCAGTGTTAAGATACTAGGGGTCCAACTGAAATCCGTACAAATCTTGCATGAACCAGAGACTATTGTTAAAGGGGTTCCCAGTAAAACACCATAAGAGTCTTGTCTATTAATATGCATCTCCAAATCTCAGAGGCTACCAACAATTTCGCAACAGAAGCATACCTGTATCTGAATAATTTACAGCCAATATCAAAGGTATGTCTGATCTCTCACAGTGAACGTTAACAATGCAAGAATTGGTGTAGAGTGAAAAGGAACAGTAACATCCTAACCAAATCTTTGTTAAATCAAAATAGTATGCAAAACCCATTAATCACAGGACAATATGTTGGCATTCATTAAAACAATCCTGAGCACCTGCCATTCAAATCAAACAACCAGGCTTTATTTTTTCAGTGCAATTCATTAAAGGGGTCATAGAATGCAAAACCGAGTTTACATTAACATAGATGAATAACAATAGTTTAGTGGGTGAAACAGATGTAAGGAGAAGTTCAAACTTCATTGACACCTCCTTTCTCTGCAATTTTCACAATTCTACACTTCCATTATAAAACGGAGTTGACCTAAACTCGGGATGGCTATTAGGTGTCGACTGCTGGGCCACTGACTGGGCCGAAGCTCAGCAGAGAGCCATAAGCCGCCCATCCTCAGCCGGAGGAGCGGGGCTGAGGGCCGGTAAGGCCGGCGGGGGGAAGCACAAGGCTGGCAGTCTCCAGGCTACAGTCAACGGGTCAGGTTCGGCCGCCGTGTCCCCCGCTGGCTCCTTGCCCCCGTTTCGCTGAGGTTCCTGGACCAGTCCCAGAGCTGACAGCTCAGATTAACTGCCGGGTGTGTTTCGACTACGTGCTGCACTGCAGTCTACCAAAATCCCGGACGATTTTGAACCCTCCCCCCCGCCGGACATATTGGACATGTCCAGGGAAAAGAGGACATCTCGTCACCCTACCATTTTAACAATTTGATTTTTCTGTGAGTGAGTGCCTCTTGCTATGATGAGTCTTTGCTCAGCAGCTTCCCTCATTGTAAACCAACCAATCAGTGCACAGCTCATCTACATATTCATGAACACACCATAAAAGGAAGTAAACCTGTAGTTTTATTTTGGGGCTCTTAACCAGGCTTGCATTAGGGCTCATAGAACAGTAAATATGCCATTTTCAGCCCAACCAATGTTACACACTCTATACAGAGCCCTTAAGGACCAGCACCAAATACCCTATAGAATCATTCTATGACCGCTTTAAGTGCCATTGTTGTGTTTTGTTTTGGAATGCTGAACTTTTTGTATCTATAAACAAAGAAAAAAACTAAATGAACACATAACACACTGACACATAGATTAGAATACAAATGGGGTTCACTGTTCTGTCTGAGGATCAGGTGGCTGGGGGAAGCTGGAATCAAACCCCCAACCACTATCTTGGAAGAAGGGGTTGGGTATCTGGCTCCCTTTTTTCAGCGAGGCAAAGCTGCCCTACAGCTGCTGAAATGTACAACAAACCACTTATTTTTATCAAATTCTGCATGAGAAGTTAATTCTAAATTATCCAGTCTTAATGGGCACATATACTAATATAGCTTTTCAATCACCAGTCAGTACTTACAGGCACAACTCAAAACTCAGAATATTAGGTAAAAGTCAGGTGGAAGATATGGCTTCAATATCTAATCTTGAATGTAGTTTCCTGCTAAATTAAATTTTTTTCATTTAAATTTCTAAATCAAAACAACAAAATGGCTTATATTGATTTTGAAGACTTTTTGTGAAACATGCTTGTAAAACAATCACGTTTCACAACAAACAGTGAAAATGCAACCAACTAAACAGATAGTGGTTTTACAAAGAGACCTAGTTTATCAGTTATGAGAAGAGTTCTAATATAAGAACAAAAAACTGATGTAACTGTGAGCTATGAAAACCTATGGAGAGGATTAGTTTAAAAAAATGCAGGTTTCCAAAAATGAAACAGTCATGAACAAAGAAACTAGATTAATCTATTTTTATCGCCCAGCCCAAGGTAAAAGTGCATTATGTTTTAGTAGTTATCTCAGGAAGTGAAAATCATAAAAATCATCACATAAATTCAACTAAATAACTCAAAATACGTGCAAAGGTTTCCTGAGCTGTGAAATGGCCTCTCACTCTTGGTCAGTTTGCTACATTATCATGGACAAGGATGCTGACCTGACAAGTGCCCAGAAGGGAGCCATCATCCTTCTGAAGTAGGGTAGAACACAAAAGGTAATTGGTACACAGGGTACTGTATCCAATTACTATAACATAAATAATGTTAATGTAATTTGTAGTATAACCAATTGTTTGGCAAAAGGGGCTCTTTTAGTACATAAACAGTTGATTCAGCAACAATTTTGAAGAGCTTTAAATGCAAGTTCTTCTTAGTGGAATTCATCAGAGCCATCTTGGTCTTTGGTTACCCAGGAACCTTAAAAGGCAGCGTTTTAAAATATAACTGTATAGAATTTTTATGTCACTATCCAATTATTAAAAAAAATCTAAGAGTTGCTGGTAACCGCTACTACTCTAGGGCAAGATCTGGCTATAAATCCACATTCAAAAAGTTAGCATGATAGGAAATACAAGAGCAAAACCCTTGTAAAAAAAAAAAAAAAAAAAAAAAGAATGTTAATTAAATGGATGTTGAACTGTAACTATAGAGTCATATGTTTACATTACTGTTTTTCATCACAATTTTGTTTTTTTCTATTACTGCTACTTACCTTATCAAGGTGGCACTTTAAAAAATGAAATAGTCTAGAGAGCTGTTCTTAGTCTAAGGGAAAAACCCCGCTATCAAACCCTACCTACCTGGTATTAGGAACTTGAAAGGGAACTTGTGCTCTCCCTGTTTCAGGGTTCCTGGACGGGACACAGAGAGAACAGAGAAACAATTAGCTTTATTTTACATTTAGTGGCTAAGTGGACAATTACAACTTTAAGTTTACAAACTTTACACAGTGATACTACCAATTTTATGACACAGAAATAATCAATAATATGGTAAACATTATTGGTGCTGCTAAGCTTACTTACAATAGAAACGTTAGGGAGACTTGACATTTATATTAACAGTCTCATCAGTGCTGCAAATTACCTTTGTCTGAAACAGAGAGGGTGTTGTTGAAGTACTGCTCCTCTGTTGTCCATGCTGTGTCATTTATCTTACTAGTGATACCACAGAAACCATTGCAGTTCACTTTCACGGCTGCAGATGGAAAAAACAAACAAAAAAACAGACGGGACAAAGATTAAACTCATCTAATGGTTGCCAGGACACAGGTTTCAGCCTTTAGCTATCTTCATTGGCTTCCTGTTATATCTAAAATAGAATTTAAAATCCGTCTCTTCACATATAAAGCCTTAAATCGCCAAGCGCCATCTTATAAAAGAAATCGAATTGTATATATTATAATCTTCAACTTTATTTTTACTTATTTCTTTAAGTGCATTTAATAATATTTTTGTCTGGTTTATGAATGACAGGTTTATTTCCTGATACTTTTTGTGTGTTCTGGTTAGGCTGCTAATGTACAGAATAACGTGGCACAGCATATAAATATATCCTCAGTTAAATAGAAGGATGTGCAATATTCTTGTCATGAAGGATATTTTAAAAAGCAGTTAACTGTTGGCTAAATTATTCTAAATGCTAAACTTGTATTTTACATGTAATATTTAGCTGGTCGAAGAAAGTGGAAGTTGCAAAAAACAAAATGCTAAAACGACAGAATGTAAAGTAAGAAGAGGAGAGAATATGAAGAAAGGCGTATCATTCCTAATATTTAAAGTTTTATATTATATATATATATATATATATATATATATATATATATATATATATATATATATATATATATATATATATATTTAAATAACTGATATTGCACAATCTTCTTGCATGCAGTCCTCACAAAAATTGTGCAGCAGGAAGCCACAGGTCTGGCAGAATCAATTGCCTTCACTCTAAGGCTACGTTCACACGGCAGGCCTTGATGCTCAATTCCGATTTTTTTGGTGAAATACGAATTTTTTTGTGTTGCTGTTGACATTTCCAAATATATGCAACTTGTATGTGAGATCTCCTGCGTGAACTGCAGTCATACAACGCAAGTGTCCTGCATGCGCAGTAGAGGACATTGCAATGACATCACAGGCCAGCGTGCTCTGCATTCATGGAAGTAAACATGGATGGTAGTGCCAGAGCGCCATCAAGATGGTGAAACATAAACACTGCTCTCCGCATCATCTTCTGCCACGGTTGTTTTTTCTTGCCGCTTCTTCATAGCAAGACCCAGTATAGTGACCTTTGTCGGGTGGTAATGGTGTTCAGGTCGGATGAATGCGACCTGGCTGTTCAGACGCATTTGAAAAGATCAGATTCGTATCAGATTCAGGACCACATAGCCAAGTGGCCTGCGTCAGACTGAAAAACAAATCAGTGTGTTGTTCAGACAGACATGAAAAGATCAGATACAGGTCGCATATGAGCCACAAAAATCTGATTTGGCTGCAGTGTGAACGTAACCTACAGGATGTTTTGCAAATCTGCCAGAACAGAGGCTTGTTATAACATAATTTGTGGGAATAATTTTCTAAAAAGCTAGTAGAAAAACCTAATTGTTTCCACAGGTACGTAGCTACAGTCAGTGAACAAATTGTCTTCATTTAAAATTTTTCCAATTATAGGAACCCCAGAAGATCAACTGGATGAGAAATAAAAACTGTTAAAGACAGAAACTTCTATAACAATGAAAATATTTACCTAGAAATATACATCTGATATTAACGTCCAACTTGCTTTTATTAGAGAAGCAACCTGATCTGCCCAAACAGGAATCTTGACAAACTGGAAATACCATAAACAGAGGGGCACTCCCAACAAGGAAGAAAATGGTGAGGAAGTGAAGTTTCACCTCCCCACTTGGACCGAGTAGCTTGAGCCCATGAGAATAAGGTGGGTAAAGTGATTTGGAAAATTATGACGGGTTTGTTTTGTGCTGTTCTCAAGTTCAGTTGTTCCAATCTCAGTACTCGACAGCTATAAAATACTAGATTAATAACACTTTGAACCTAGCTATAGTCAATTCCTTTTTTAACTGCTTTAATAAATGGATCCCAGTGTAATCAATAAGACAGCAGCTGATTTTATTTATTTTTATTCAGTAGGCCTATTCAATCATCAGCAATGAAAGCCACTAAAAACTTTTGAAAGTATAACGGTTATTTTAATTCACCTGAATTCTGTATTTTCATGTGATCCCTACGGGTTTGAAGTGCTTCAATGTTATAACTCAACAGGGAGGCTAGGTGGGTGGGTTAGTTATTTAGTTATTTAGTTATTTAGTTAGTTAGTTAGATGGTGCAAGGGTGTAACAGTGCCATAGTTAATATGCCTGCAATTAAAAAGCAGGTCACACATAAAACAAAAGGAGCCAACTTTTGAATCCCAGATATATCGCTCTAGTCTGGCACCAATTCAAAAACAGCCAGGCCTACATTGTATTCCATAGCTTTCCTTAGCTCAAGCTGTTGGGTCACAGAAATTAGACTGGAAGAATAAAAAAACTTCAAATAAAGCACAGCGTCACCTGGTCATAGAGGTGAGGAGGGGAAAACAACATAAAAAAGCGGAAAGCCTCACTTTGAATAACTTCCCACTTCCTTGTTCAGTGTCCAAAACAGGTGAGAGCGTTAATTGTCCTACCTTTGCATTGGATCGGCTGGTTCAGTTTGACTGTCACGGTTCCAGAAATTGATTCTCCCGGGACGTACAAGTCTTTTTTATCTTTAAACTCAATCTCGAACGTCTCAAGTTTCCCCATGATCTCCTCTCACCGAAACCGAGGATCACCTGTACTGCAAACAAACTGAACGCTTTACCTTGATCGTTAACTCCACCCCTAATCTGACGTCTCCTTCCTGACATCACCAAAAGCTCAAAGATAATCTTGACGAATATCTTACACGTAGATCAACCTTGTTAGTTTTTGCCTAGTTTCTACAAAGGAGATTTTGAATCAGGATTATCCAAATAAGCCTATAACGTCCCACTACGTAAAATTCAAATTTCTGGTTAATGTACATTTAGTGAAAAGTAGAAAAATGTTCCAAAAAATGTCAACCTTTACAGTTTACACTTTAAATCTTCGGATTATTGATTTCAATAATCATAATATATTATATAAGTAAATCTAAACAATGTATGTATAAAATATATATCTGCAAAATCTCTAATATTCAACAAAAAATACTTAGTTAAGCATACTGTGCAAAACAGCAATAAAAAAAAATAAAAATCCTATCAGTCCCTGCACTGCAGATACATTAGAATGTGTCCTTAAATTACAGCCAAACTCATTTAAACAGTAACAGATAAAAACCTTTAGATAAACCAAACATTTCTGCCACATATCTGACTCAATAACAGTTAAAACAACTATTTTCATTCATTTCAGACGAAACTATTCAAATACTTTTATTATATTAAACTGCACTTCCAATTTTCACCACTGTTCAGCGCCAAGTAACCTTTCCTCTGATCACGGAGCAGCCGGCTTGCTTGGTCTCGCAATGATTTCTGGGAAAACCAAGGGTAAAGAGGATACATCGGACCGTCCTTCAAATCGGGCAAAAAGAAGGGCGCATATTAAGGCCGCATAACGAGGAGTCTTGGGGTGCGTCCTTAGAAGGCCAGATTCGAAGAACGATTACATCAGAGCAAGGTGCCGAGGTCTGGTCGGAATCCAAGAATCCTCATTATGCGGCCTTAAAATGCGTCATAAAAACTTAAACCATCGGAAAACTGTAATGTCTAAATAAAATGATAAACACAGGAGTTACCATTGATGAACCAAAAATACATTAACATGATTTAAAAGGAAAGAAGAATGGTCCAATCATATATTCCCATGTTTGCATCAAATTGTTCTTAGCATTCACATCAAAGTATGCATTTACCTTTCATATCTCTTTTCTTTTTTATGCCCCAACGGATGTGGTGGTGCTGTGTTCCCAGTGGATCCCCTGATACCACAACAGGCATTGTAACTGTAAGCAAATCCCATTTTGAAAAAAAGATTTTTCAAAATAGGATTTTTAAGGTCCATACTGAAAATTGTTACTGTACTAGTACGGGGTGTATGAGGAGACATTGTCTGGGACCTTCAGAGGGGAATTCATGGATGAATCAGAGGTTGCCTATTACTATCAATTCACTTTCATTCCTTAACAGTCTTGTGGATTATAGTGTGACATTTAGCCCCTACTGATGTATTAATATATTCACATCAGGAGATATACTTAACTGCTACTGCAGAGATTGACGCATTAAGATAGAAGCTAAGTAAACCTGACAGGGTGATTCTGTGCAATTCTGTGCAATTTAAAATATATGCAACTGTATCCCAAGCTACCTGTTAAAGAAGAAGATAAAATCTACCTTCTGAAGAAAATGTAAAAAGACTGAAAAAGAAATATTTTACTCGGACTGCCAAAGTAGAAAAGCAGTCCTGGAAACAGCCCGACACTGTTCCTCAGCTTCACTAGACGTGGATATACTTTATATTGCTGTAAAATTAGTCCTATATTTTTTTGTTTTTTACTCGAGGATTCAACCTCTGCCGTTTGCACAGCTTTAAGTGGTAACTAGGTGACTGCCAGAGAGGAACCCAGATAAACTTATCAGACTGATCCAATCAGCTCTCTGATCAACCAGTCACCTGGAACGCTGGTTGATCAGAGCATCGGCACAGGTTTCACCAGCAACCTCCTCCTCCCCACACCCTGCTCTCGGTTGTTGTGTCTGCGCAATTGAAGTAGTTATAATCCGCACATGATGCATGAAATATTGTATTGCCTGCCCGCTCTCACTCGCATTAAAAAAACACCACCTCCCATAGTCTAAAATCCGGGATAATTTATCAGACTCGTGGGCATCCGTGAACAACTATCTATATCAGGGAGATTCCCAGAACTTCCGGGAGACTTGGGATGTCTGCATTACATAGTTTGGGGCTCTGAAAACTGTCCGGCTTACCGCAAGTTCTACTACTGCAGAAGCCGCACTGATATGTTCACTGCTCGATTCGCCATCGCCTCCACTACAACCTCCACCACCATCATATTTTACATCAGACACCGGAGCAGATGAAGGGTCTGCTGTTGGGAACATGTCAGTCAGTTTGATACATTCGCAGCGTCTGTTTGAAGAACTCGTTTATTTTTTTCGCGCAGTTTCTCTGCGCCTCCCTTGTGTTTCTTATCCATTACTACTGTGAACTCCGCTGCACAAAGTTCTAATGGAGAGTGAAGGTGTTTTTCTACTTTCTGAATTGGCCTTGCCCTTTAGACCAGAGGTCTTCAACAGGGGGTCCGTGACCCCTAGTGGGGCCCTGGAGGTACTGCATGGGGGTCGTGAAAGTTTTGGTTGATTCAAAATTTTTGTTTATATTCTCCCCTGTAATTTTTTCCACTAATTGAAATGCCTTTAAAAATACATTAACATGAATTCAACACACTGTAGTAAAAAGATAAATGGAGGCAGAAGATGTCTTTCAGTCATCAATGCACACATTCCGCAACACACAGGAGCTCTTTCAAGGTGGGCACCATTCACAACACCTGTCCAATCAACCAGGAATCAGAAATATTTTAATAATCCCAGGGAGAAATTACTTTAATTACATTACTCCGTCTGTAGTTGAGTGACTATAGGACCAGTTTGATACAATATTCGGGGGTCCCCGCTCCATCTTGCCACGAGTTTGGGGGTCCTTGGCCTGGAAAACGTTGAAGAACCCTGCTTTAGACTGTCAGGGATGATAACCAATGGGCTGCAGTTGTCTGTGGTAAGGGCCGGTGTCGTGCCAAACGAAGTATCCCCGCCAGGATTTGTATCCCCTGCGTCAGGAGCGCGCATTCAGCTTGTTGAACGTATACACTAAACTACGCCTCATTTCCAGCCAATTCGGCGTGGAAATCAAGATGTTTTATTTCTCTTAACGAAATATAGGAATAGTGTCGTTACATGCAGATAAATTACCTTGGAAAGCAGTATGAATTAAAATAAAAAATACTATTACAAGTATCTGTGTTGTTGTTTGTGTCTAAAGTGCCATTTACTGCTAATTTCCAGTGGTGATACTCATTTATAATCCCCAGTAAAACTTCATGCTCCATTGGTTTTATCTGAAAAACATAAAACATTTGAAAAACAACAACAAATGGTTTTACAAATTCAGCTGTCAAAAGAATAACACTAAAAATATGAAAATAAAGAAAACCCTTTAATTGAATAAAAGTATTTGGTCAAGACAGTTTTTACTTACATTCTTTTTTCTAACAGGTTATTCCTTGCATTTCAAAAACTTAAATCATTGACTTAATATAGAAAGATAATGATTGAAATAAAATTACTATGCATTTGTGAGTATGTCAAAAATATCTCGTTAGGTTATACAGACCTTAAGCCTTTGTGGTTTTCCATTCCAAATTGCATTCATTGCAAAAGAGTCTATCACAGCTGCTTTTTCTTTGTCGGCACAATTGTGCCCACGCACTAATAGATTCATGTAGGCATTGATGGACTGTCAATGAAATTTTCATAGATATAGCAAAATGCAGTTAGTTATGTGGATAACTAAAAAAGCACTTAAAGTCATTAGCAGTACTGTGTACCTCACTGTCCAGCTCCATGTTTGGACCAATTTGAGAAATGTCCCAATAAAATAATTTGTATGGCCCGATTTTGGAAAGGAGAACATGTGAAACATTTCCTTCCCATGCTTCCTGGACATCTATTGAAAAATATAAAGAAACACAACTGTCAATAAAGGATGCAGCTGCTACTCAAGCAACAAACTGTTGTGCCCTAGGACACACATTTTCCATGCAAAACAAAGGCATAATTAAAAATGCATGATTATAGTAGTTGATCAGAATTACGTGTACAACATGATTAGATATACCGGTAGGTATTTTTATAAATCAGAGCCAAAAACATTCTTACATTTCTCAAAAACAGCTGTTGTGTATGTTTGCTCAGAACATGTATTTGAAGGCTGTGGTGGAATCACTGGAGCTGGTGTGACAGCTTCTGCTGCTGGCTTTGAACATGCATTTGAAGGCTGTGGTGGAATCACTGGAGCTGGTGTGACAGCTTCTGCTGCTGGCTTTGAACATGCATTTGAAGGCTGTGGTGGAATCAATGGAGCTGGTGTGACAGCTTCTGCTGCTGGCTTTGAAAATGCATTTGAAGGCTTTGGTGGAGTCACTGGAGCTGGTGTTACAGCTTCTTCTGCTGGCTTTGAACATGCATTCGAAGGCTTTGGAGGAGTCACTGCAGCTGATGTTACAGCTTCTGCTGCTGGCTTTGAAAATGCATTTGAAGGCTTTGGTGGAGTCACTGCAGCTGGTGTTACAGCTTCTGCTGCTGGCTCAGAACAAGCATTTGAAGGCTGTGGTGGAGCTGCAGGGATAGTATGTCTTGGTTGCAGATGATTGTGGGCACCGGGCACCCTGGGTGTGCTCTCAACAGCTAACTTGAGCTGATCAGTACTAATTTTGTTAAATACAATCCCTTTCTCATCTCGCAGATCAGCACTTTTTCCTTTTATTGCTGTGATGAAATAAGGGCCAAAGTAGCTTCTTTCCAGCTTCCCCCCTTTTCTTTGTTGGCTTCTGAGATTTTGTCTCCATACTTTCTCCCCAACTTTGAAAACTATTTTGCTGTCAGACTTATTTTTGTTTCTGGTTTTTTCATCTCCCTCATCAAGATGTTTTCTGACTTTCTCAAAGAGTAGTATCTGCTCCACAATGTCCTGCGCTAACTTCTCTGATGCCACTGCATCCTCTATGCTGCTGTCAATCTTGAGAAAGTAACAGGAAGTTTGAATTAATACTGTGTGATTTTCATGAGTTACAATTGTCTGTTAATATTACATTTAAAAAGTTGAAGGAGCCAGCCTGCTCTTCCAGAACATTTCACACTGTTATGATACATATTAAAGGAAGTGCATAACCAAAATGAAACATCAATCTTATGATACATATTTTAACTGAGACATCAGTAAACCTTTGGTTTTCTTGATAATGGTGTAGCTAACTGTCTGACATGCACTTTTAATAATCTTGTTTCTTATAAATGTGATATGAACAAACTTGCCATCCGTTTGAATAGAATACACTAAACTTTGAATCACTTAACAGAATATCAATACCTCAACCTCCTGGGGAATTTCAGAGGGATATCGAGCCTCTCTCCCAAACATAATGTAGTAAGGGGAGTACTTTGTGGTCATCTGTTTTTTTGTCCGCAGACCAAACATGACTGGTTCCAGAAAGTCATCCCATTTTTCTGGATGACCTCCAATCACTTTACTCAAGGCTCTAGGATTGAGAAGTTTTTAATGATTTAGTATCAGAATCAGTTTCTCATATGCTAGATCTTTGCACAAGTCAATGTGCACGAAATTGTAGTAGATAATTATTTGATGGTTTGTGAGCAGAAAAGAAAAGAAATGACTCACCTCTGAACTGCCAAATTCATCCTTTCAACCAGCCCATTAGTTTGTATCCTCTTGGGGGCTCCAGACCGATAAACAAATTTGAGGATACACTCAGTGACCTCCTTGGCAGACTTGGTTTTTAACGGATAAGCCTCCGACCACTTAGTGAAGTAGTCCACCATAACACAGATATACTGGTTCCCTTTTGTTGTGGTTGTTAGTTTTCCAATTAAGTCCATCCCGACCAGTTCAAGTGACTGAGAAACCTGAAACAAGACAATATATTTTCATTACAAAAACTCAAACCATCTCTCTCACACAGAGCTTAATTTGGGAAACTTTCAAAACAACTTTTAAATAACATTAAGTCTCTTAAATTGTCCTTTATGTCTTTTGGGGATTAAGTTTGTACCCCTTCATGAAAAAGGGCAATATTAATGGACAAACCTTTATTGGCGTAAACTATGATGGTTTCTTGATGTTGGGATCTGGAGATCTGCCACCTGTCTCCAGCAGAGAGCGCTATGGGTCTCCTGAGCTGGAGCCTCCTGCACACCTGAGGATCATCAGCCCATCAGGAGACCAGCTACATAAGCAGCGGCCAGACCTGTCTTCAGTGCCAGAGTGTTGACCAGTTTTGGTTAGCAGAACCTGATCCTCAGCCTGCACATAGAATCTCTGTCTGCTCTGGAGAGTAACCTGATTCTAACCAGCCTCTGTCTTCTCTGCCTTATAGGAAACCTGATCGAAGTCTGTAGCTCTGGAGGAGCTCATGTTTGGAAACCTGCTTGCCTGCCCTAAGAAGCCAAACCTGAAGATCCTCAGTCTGAATCTCCCTGCTAGTTCTCAGGAGAGAATTTGGAGAACTACTCAAGGTCTGAACCTCGCTAGCCTGAAGCTAAGCTCTGCCGTTGCTAAGCTCTCTGCTGAACCCACAGTCTCTGGACCCAACCGGTTCCCCCTCTCCACCGATCAGTCTGAACCTTATCAGGTACAACTCTGAATCAAAACCCTGTCAAGACGTCATAATTACCTGGCTAACCAAACTATCCTTCTCTGCAGATTACTCTGTGAAACCAAGTCCCAGACCAGTACCAGAACCAGTGCATTGTTTACTCTGTGTTTGCCTTCCTTAAATAAACTGTTAAACTTTTACCCTGCTTCGTGTGGTGTTCTGCATGTGGGTTTAATCACAGAGACCCATCATGACACTTGAGACATGGAATGCTGGCTTGACAGTCTAAGCACTGTGAGACCTAAAGCACAGAATGTTATACAATAAAGAACAAAACTCAAAGGTAAAAACAAGTGATATGAAATAAATGAAAAAAAATAACTGGTATTAAATATCAAGATTTATCAAATTTTGTACTGAAAGTTCTATTTGTGTATGTAATGCTACAGCTCCATGTGTTTTTGTTAATGTGTTCTGTGTTACTCACTGCTCTGCTTTCCTTATTAGCTCCATGTAGCAATACCTGTTACCCCTAAATAGTGGTAGGGACTCTGGGGTGCTTCTCGGACTGCCTATTCACTGCTACACAGCTCACAAGCTAGTATGAGCAAAGCCCTTTCTTTGTACTTTCTCACATAAGCACCAAGCAAGTGCAACTCGTGGACCCATTGATTGTATGCAGCATCATCTACCGGGCGGATACTGACAATGTTAGTGGCTTTTATTCTGTGTTCACCACATTCCACTGAGATTTCTGAAGCAGCTAACCTTATTCTCTGTTAAAGAGGTTCCTGAATGCGCTCCAGCAAGTTTCCAGCCTTTCAATGCTTTTTGCTTGAAAAAACCTTGTAAACAAATTTTTGTTTGTCTGAGCTAAATTATCAGGTCCTCTATATGTACAGCATACAGCATACATACCCATTTGTTGATGTCGACTGACATGCCAGGCCAGTAGTATCTCTGAGAAATTGCTTCTCTTGTTTTAGTTTGGCCACAGTGGGCCCCAGTAGAGCTGAAGTGAAAATCCTTGAACATTTTATCTGCATTTTCAGCACCGCAGACCACTTCTGTTTTGAGGCTTCTGGCAGTACCTTTGTGACGCCAGTAAAACAACTTTTCTCCTGAAAAAAAAAAAAAAATTAAAATTAAATTACGTTTAAGCAGAGTTTAAAAAAACTGCACATTTTAAGCTTTCACAACATGTTGAGTATCTTCTGGTCAGAAGAAATAAAGGAACACTTTGAAAACAGCAGATTTATCTGGAAAAATGCTCCAGCTGGACATCCATCTTTATGTTAGAAACAATGTTCTGTTTTATTTGAAAAAAATCATCATCCCACTGAGGACTTAATATGCTGACATGTCATTTTAGCAATTAAAAAAGGATGGTACTTAGTAGTTTGTTTGTCTGCTACAGGATAGTATCCATGCCTGACAGCTTTGGAAAATCCCTGTGAAAAGATGGCACATGGTGTCCAGGGTATCTGCTCCCAGATGATGACCTGGTCATCACTGAGCTCCTGGACAATCAGAATTACAACATTTGGGTGTCCTATGGAACTAAAAAGGATGTGTTGGAGAATTTTGCTGCATTTAGTTGGGGAAATGTGAAGGCCATTTAATGCTGTCACTTCCTCCTTCAGGAGTCACATGCAGACTCTTGCCATGTGATGTATTATGTAATGGAGCAGGAGGAATAAAGGCCTTACTGCAGTAGCGAAGGGCCTAACAACAGGTCAGAGGATTTCATCCTGACCTCTAATGACAGACAATATGCAACTGTTTATCTTGGATTCATCTGAACATCTCTCCATGGAAATACCTCACCAGACAGACATTGACCCACCAAGTCAATCATCGTGAACACTGTAACAGCAATGTCACATTCCATGCAACTTCCACAGACCCTTTCGTCTGTTTCACATGAGCTTACAGTGAACCTGCTCTCATTCATGAAAAGAATAGGGGAACATTCTCAACCTTACTATTTTGGTGTTCACTCACAAATATCAGGAGGGATTCACAGTGTCAGGTGGGGAGCACAGGGCCAATTAAAGGATGCCAGGCCCTCAGATCTACCTATGAAGTCTGTTTTTGAAAGTTTGATTAGACATTCACGCCAGTGGCCAACTGGAGGTGAATTTGAAGGGCTGTAGCACAACTTATCCTGCTCCTTGCACTGTATTCTTGTAATGGCAAATATTGATGTTTCATCCTGTTGCTCTATGCTTCTTCAGGAGGGAATGCTGCTTGTCGGGACTTTGATGCAATCAACTGGTTCCCTTATATAGGAATTTTTTTTTTTTACCAATCTGTATAATCTGACTCAATCTGTATGAATGATTGATTTTGACTTTGTAAAGTGCCTTGAGATGTTTCATTAATTGCCACTATATAAATAAAATTGAATTGAATAAAATTGAATAGGTGAAAATAGACTACCTCAGAGACCTCTGACGCAGGCAAATTCTCAAAAAGTTCCATTGTACAGTTTTCCTGTGAATTTTTTAACGTATGTAATTTTCACATACTTTTACAGCGTTTTTGTTTATGTCAATCAACTGTCAGACCTACAAGATAATACGTGTTTCATAATTTACAGACAAATCCATACATCATGTTTAATATGAATATAGACACAATAGCATATAAACTTCTGTAGATATAGTGACCAAAAACCTAATTTAATTATAGAGTCCTGCCTTATGTAAACTTTGGAAAGTTGCGATATGAAATCCTGACCAGAAAGACTCCTCACAATGTAGAAAAATAATAAGAAAAATAATGTAAACATTCTTTTTATGTTTGAAATTTAAACTTTAAAAAAAAAAATAAATTGCTCTCAAAAGACCAAAATTAATTACTCTTTTTTCAACATCGGCGCTCCAATATTATGAAAAGACGTCTTCAATGCTGTAAATTGCAGCTTTTCGTCGCAAAAGAAATTTTTCTCTCTTGTTTAAAAGAGCTGGGTAAACTCCATTGAGTTTATATTTGACAATGGTTTCATACTCTGCTGGATTCATTTTTGTCGGTGTAGATTTCTCAAGCCACTTCAAAAACGTAAGCACTGTCAGCTAGCAAAACATTCAGGTATTTCGTCATCTAATTTGCATAATTAACTATGGGACGAGACAAGGTCCTATAAGCGATCTTGGGATTGAGTATTTTAAGAATAGAGCTATAGTACAGTTTATGTGTGTGTTTTAATTGTGCATAACTAACTGAACGGAAGTAGTTAGCTGTTGATATTACGGCCGTAACCTTCAGCCACACTTTTTGCAAATTTGTAATGTGACGACTACCATGTATTTCAGTGTCATGAGAACAATGTATGATTTTCGAACCATGTTTTAAATCACCGACACAGTCATTTTAGTGTTTTATTTTTGTGGGTGTAAATCACATTTGCAAAAGTTTTTTTCTTCTTATATTTCGTTAAGGAAAATAAAATATCTTTATTTCCACGCCTAATGTGTTGGTAATGAGGCGGAGCTGAATGCGCGCTCCCGACGCAGGGGATACAAATCCTGGCGGGGATACTTCGTTTGGCACGACACCGGATGATCGGAACAGACTCTTGATTTTATTTTTATATAATATATTTTATATATTATTAATAATAATGATAATAATACGTATTATTAATATACATGTCGGGTCTGCCGGCCCAAACATCATGTCGGCCCACCGGGCAAATGCCCGGTATGCCCGATTAGCAGTCCATGCCTGCCTGGAAATATAAATACTGGAGCACAAGTTGGCAAAGAGTGCATGGTGACAGGGTTCATGTAAAGTTTTTGGAAAGATGCAAACATTCCATATGTATATTTGTAGAAAAAAGAGAATACCAAGTAAAATGTGTGTCATCTTACTATTTTCTTTTTACTTAAGCAGTGGTGATGGTGGTGACTTAGAGTAAGAAGTGACCCTGGTAGATGGTGTCTCTTTCTACTCTCCCATCCTGCATGGCTGGTAGATGCAGGGGGTCGTCAACAGGGTCTTACATTTGTAGAACAAGATGTTAACCCCCCTAAAAGTGGCAATATTGTGATGACCACAAGCCTGAGGTAACGTAGTCACTGGAAACAGGATTTGAACAGGCCTATGGTCATCTTGTCCTGCAGTGAGCCCAGCTGGAGTTCTGTTCGGGACCTGATTCTAGGTCATTGTAAGGCGTCAGCAGCCTTTGTTAGCAGGGATAACTCCTGTCTCACAGCAAATGGCCATCAAACTCTCCTGCAATGTATAGTGGATAAATGAAATTGCATTAACCCTTTAACTGCCTTGTCAACCTGCATTTCACTGAGCAAATGGTCAACCATGTGGTTGACCACTGAGCTGAAATGTTAAAAGGGCAGGAACAGGTTTATTGTATTGTGCTAAATAATGGCAAACCTTCCTCATGCTAAAGGGTTACCTGTGGAATACCATAGGGATCAGTGCTATATACTATGTACTGTATACAGTATGCTATCGATAGAATTATTAGACAGCATGGGATTAATTTCCACTGTTATTGTGATGATACTCAGCTATATCTGTCTATAACTCCAGATAAAGCTAACCTATTACATAGAATACAGGCATGTCTTGAAGACATAAAAAACTGGATGACTTTTAACTTTCTGCTCCTGAATGCAGACAAAACAGAAGTTATAGTCTTTGGGCCAGAGTCTTTGAAAAAGAAGATGATTAGCCAGTCACTTCATTTGGATGGGATTAAACTGATCTCAGATGATAAAGTAAAACATCTTGGTGTTATTTTTGATCAGGCCCTGTCATTTAAATCCCATATCAAATACTTTTCCCGCATTTCCTTCTTTCATCTGCGGAATATTGTAAAAATTAAAAATATCCTGTCCAGGGGTGATGCTGAGAAACTAGTCCATGCATTTGTTACTTTAAGGTTGGACTATTGTAATTCTTTACTATCAGGAAGTCCACAAACTGTAATTAAAAGCCTTCAGCTGATCCAAAATGCTGCAGGGAGAGTTCTGATGAAAAAATCTCTCTCCTATCCTGGCTTCTCTTCATTGGCTTCCTGTTAAATCCAGAATAGAATTTAAAATCCTCCTACTCACATATAAAGCCCTAAATGGCGAAGCTCCATCTTATATCAGAGATATGATTGTTCTTTATGTTCCATTATGTAACAGAGCACTTCGCTCTCAATCTGCAGGTTTACTAGTAGTTCCTAGAATTTCTAAAAGTAGAATGGGAGGCAGATCTTTTAGTTATCAGGCTCCTCTCCTGTGGAACCAACCTCCAGTTTTAGTCTGTGAGGCAGACACGGTTGTGGTTCTAGTGGCTCAGCTTCTCCTGAGCTATCAATATAATTATGATGCTAATGGCCTGGCTGCTGGAGGACATAGCAACCATAAATCTGCTTTATTCTGTCTCTTCTAAAATTCTGCAGTATATGTTAGTTAAACCGCTAACTTAAGGTTCTCTCTGCTTTTTCTCATCAAAGTGCATTAATCTGGTCTAGTAGCTGGGCTGATGCCACCATCACCTTTGATAATAGAGGAGCCCCAGTCCTGTGCCTGGGCTCAGCTTTTACTGTGACCAATAATAAGTGTTCTCTTTTATCTCTTTGACATGAAAACTGGCTCAGAGCTCATCTGCTTAACTGTTTCTTTTCTAGACAGAGACACCTGTGCAGGTAGTTTACCTTTACATCATCTAACATTTAAAGTATTTATGGATCAGTGTTTCCATGTTTGTGTCTGCTTCAGTCTTCTTAAACTTCCAGTTGGCCTCGAAAGAAGGGATGCTCATTGTAAGGGATCACTCAAAAACAAAATGCAAGCGAATATCTACTGTTGCCAAACCCTAATCCAGAAGTCCTGCAAAGTCAAAACTTGATGCCATAAGCTGTTTTTTCTAAGAAAACATTTTTTTTAATCCAACTGACTGAATGATCTGACTGAATTGTCTCTGGGAAATATCTTGAGATGATATGCATTGTGAAACAGAGTTATATAAATAAACTAGATGGAAATAAATTGAATGGTAGATGAAAACTCAGACTGTCCTGGATGAGCAGGGTGCAGTTGACCGTTTGTGGTTGTCTCTTCAGGTTAAAAGAAATTAGGAGGGCTACCTTGTGCTGTATGCAAAAGCAACAGCATATCTGTGTGTCTCTTTAATGGCCTTCCAACATGTCCTGTCAATATGCATGGATTTTCTAGTTATATTTAATGGATGGATGGAACTTAAGAAGGTTAAGAGCATTGTCGACTATGATCTCTGAAACAGAACATAATTTAATAAGCACAAAATAAACAGCTCTTTATTTTTGTTTATTGTGTTACAACTTACTTAGAGCAATGCTTATCAGCAAAAGTTATTAATGAAGCTTATAATACAGCTGGGGACAGATTCTTGGAATTTTATGATAATCGTTGACCTATTAAGAGGTTGGTAAGAAAAAAACAATCAATCCATACTCATAAATTTCAAAAGGAATCTCATGAAAGAATACAAAACTAGCCAAATTTAAGAAAATAAAGAGTATTATCATAAAACAGTGAATGAAAAGAAAAATGAAATTAAGGACTCAAAATGTTCTAAATAGCATTACAAAAACCACAATTGAAGAAAGTTGATTGTTACATAAAAAATATTGTTTTGTAAATCATAAATTGGCTAGACAGAAGCAGTGACAGAAATCCTTGTTGTTTTTTTTTAATTCCAAAGAAGCTAAAGATGAATTAACAAAAAAAAAAAAAAAAAAAAAAAAAAAAAAAAAAAAAAAAAAAAAAAAAAACATCAAAATAATATAGAAGTTTTGGTTAATCCGGTAACACTGAAATTATAGAAGAGAGACCATATACAACTGTGGACAAAATTGTTGGTACCCCTAGATTATTGAAAGAAAAAAACACTATGGTTACAGCAATACCTTGAATCTTCATAGGTAAAAATAAATAACCATTATCTGAAAATAAAAAAATATAAGTCAGACATTGTTTTTATACATGCTTTAACAGAATGACAAAAAAAAAGCCATGAAACAGCCATGGACAAAAATGATGGTACCATTTTAGATAAAATCTTGCTGCAAAACCTAAGACATATGCACATCTCAGCAGGGATTTTGGAGCACTCATTACCCAGTTGTCCCAGAATTGAAAAGTGCTTTTTCCAAACCATATGTTTCTTTCAAAGATGCTAAATATGATTTAGGTCAGGGATCTGTTTCACAAAGCAGGTTTACCAAAAACTAAGTTATCTAAACTTGAAAACATGGAAACTCTGACTTTTCCATTTCACTAAAATAGTTTCCTCAGCCTCTGTTTCAGTCACCGTAGTAACATTCTCTCTAGAGCTTACCTGGTCAGTAGGAGGGTTTTTTCAGTAAACCCAGAGTTTCCTCGGTCTCCCCTCTCTCTGCAGCCAATCACATTGTTTTATTTCCTGATTTAGACAGAATTTTGTTGTTGTTTGATGTAGTTTTATGCATACAATACAAAAAACATCTAGGTCTGTTTAGAAACATTGGGTATATAAAACCAAACTATACATGTCAGTTTGACGAAGATCTTATTACACAATGATCTTCACTTTTTTTTTTTTTTTTACAGAGAATTAGGTTTTTATAGGGAGAGGATTCTACAACTGAGTTGACAGGGAATGGGTTTACTTGTCTTTGGTTTGTTTAATATGAGCGGACCAGGGTACGGATAATTTTATTTTTATTTTGTTATATTTAAAGTAAATGAAGCACAACTGAAATTTTCAGATTACACATTTATTGATTCAATGGGCAAAAAGGAATTACTTTAGAGTTAGGATTTACTCGATGATAACAACCTAATAAGCCTATTGGCACAATCTGAAACAATTCTAAGGGACTGATAGCTAATAAAAACAGTTTATTAGGATGATAACATCCGAACCGTGGCTGCAAACAGCCACTTAGTATTTACTGTGTAAAATAAGACTAAATCAACATGAGGAGGGACCCATGGGATGATGACTTAATTTTCACCTGCTACCAGAAGATTTCAGCTTAATAGATCTGAGTGGTTCTACTTGGAGTTGATTGAACTAATTCAATATTCACAGCAATAATTCATAGCAGCTATTGCAAAACCGAAAACTCTGAATAACAAACTTTAGGGCTGATCAATCTAGAGCTGTGGATTTGAATCTGAGTTTGATAAACCTGCTTCGTGAAAGGGTCCCCAGGGCTCATAGAAGGGCACTTCAGAGTAGTCCAATATTTTTATATTATATCTTATTAGCCATTTTGGGTAATTTTGCTATTGCAACACCAATGACCTGTGAATGAGATCAAGCTTTCTAATGCTGGGAAGTACAACTAAGGTGGAACTGTAGTCACAGGAACTTCAAGCTGCTCAGAAATGGTCTTATAGCTTTTATCTTTAACATGTTTGAGAAACATTTCATTTCAAAAATATTTTTCTTTCTAATTTTTTCTCTGGTCCTTGTTGAATCTCGTTCAAATCATGTCACCAAACAGCACAGTGACTGACACCTGTGACACCTGTTATGCTGATTACAAGATTGTCTACACCAGTGATGCTAATTAGTGGACACACAAATCTAACATGTCCCTTTGGTCATATAATTTATATATATTTTTTTTTTCAGGCCTATTTCATGTGCTTGTTTTTAAAATCTCTCAATTGAAGCATGGTTGAAAACACTATCTGACTTTCATTTGTTCATTATCTTAGAAGTTTTTTTTTAAACTGTAAGTTAATCAGATCCAAATAATTTATGTGATAATTGCGAGTTTTATTTGATTTAATAAGGGGCATCATCAATTTGGTAAAACATGCTAACTTGCCGGATTTTAATACTTGCCTATAAGAACCTTCATCCAGTACATTACTTTAATATTAACTCTGATCTAAGTTTTGTATTTGATATATCAGATGTTGTTGTTTTTTTTGTTGTTGTTTGCTTCAGTTTACGGGGCTCCAATTAGTCAATAACCTCTTGGCTATGGATTTGCAGTCATTTCTGATTCACTTCTGTTTGGCCTGTTTGGAACATCCATCTTCCCAGTTCGAAGAGACTGAAATGCATCTCGAAAATTCTGAGAGCCAAAACAATATAGAATAGGGTCGAGACAGCTGTTTACTCCTCCTAAAATCCAGGTTGTGTAATATGCTGTCTCGATCCCCTGGAGAAGGCGGCATTTTTGTGGATAAAATTTTTTAAACACAACTCCCAGAGTTCGTGACACATTCAACGGGAGGAAGCACACACAGAATATAAGCAGACATATACCTATCATCCTCTGAGATTTCAGCCTGACCTTCAAACCCTTCGCTGTGCTAACGTTGAGGGTAGTCAACTTGTTTGCCAAACGGCCATAGCATATAGCAGACACGGAGAAAGGAAGTAAAAATCCAATTATAAACAAGATGAAGTTAATGATAAAGTAGGAATCAGTTAGATTTTTCTGATGAATTGAGAGACAGTGACTGTTACCCTTCTCGGAGCTGGGAGGGAGCAGGATAGCAAAGATTATAGCCTGGATCCCCAACAAACACCAAACACATGCACAAAGTTTCTGAACAAATAATTTCTTTTTGATGCAGCAGCCTTTGTTATAGTGCACCACTGTAGTGTATCGATGGATGCTTATGAGAGTAAGAAATATGGAGCTACCATAAAAATGTGAGCTTAGCAGGGCAATCTTGACCTGACACATGAAGCGGCCAAAGATCCAGTCATTACCCACAGCAAAGTACACAGCCATCATTGGGGTAACAGGTGTGGCTATCGCATCACTTAAAGCCAGGTGAAACTGTAGAATAGTTCCAGAAGTCCAGCATGGAAAACGGCAGCAGAACACCCACAGACTAAATATATTCAGGAGGAAGCCAATGAAGAACACCAGGCAGAGGAAGAAGGTGAGAGCAACATGTTGGTTCACCCCCTGACAATGGGATAAAGAACTGCTGGCGTTAGCAGTGGTTGGCAGTACTGAGAGAACACCAGTGGTCGTCGTCTCTGGCATTTTTTATTTTTTTTTGTTCACCTATGGACAAAAAGCAGAAGGGTGCTTTAGTAGTATGTACAACACAGATATATTTTTCATTAGTAGGAGTCACAACAAAAGTGTTGACTGTGCCTAAAAAGCCAAAAGGAAGAAAGAGGAGCAGAAGGGAAAGAAGGAGAGTTTACATCTTATTGAAAACTGATTTTTACTCCTACAATATTCAACCATATATTAAAAAAAGCAAATACAAAAATAAATAAATATGAATAAAGATATAAAATAGAAAAGAAATTTCAAAATTGGTCAAGCCAAGGAGAGTTGATCTATAAAGCACATTGCAGGAGCAAGACAATATCAAGTGCTGTACATAAAAAAAAGACAAAGCAAAAAAACTTTGCAGTGGCATACACTAATTAACATGATGATAACACGATATTGACATTTTTAGTGTTTTTTTTTATCTTAAACGTTATTACCAATGAACAATGTAATAATTTTAAGAGCACCCGTATTTATAAAAAAAAAATTCTGCCAGTCAGAGGACTCACGCGTTGGTTAATAACTGAGGGAGAAAGTGGAAGTGGTGTATTTGAAAGAACAAGTGAGAGCTGTAGTTGTTTTTTTTTTTGGACAGCTGTTGAAGTTTTCATGTATAAAGATGCAACTGTGCCTTCATTTTATTTCACAGTTTTCTTGCTTCAACCTCCATAAAGATGGTGTCAGCTTATTTACGTTTCCTTAGGATTGTTAGCTGCTTTCAAAGTGGGTGAAGAATGTAAGACGATCTTGGGAGAAGTTGGCACACTCCACAGCATCTGTTTTTTCAAAGGAGTCCTTTTGTTATTTTGTTCCTTCACTGAAAGAGTCACTTGGTTGTTAATGAAAAAACTAAGGTGTGCCACATCTACTGCGCCCTTTCCCCCATGGAAAGGAGAGAATATTAGCCAGTATACAAGCCAGACACAGGCCAATTGTTATTTTATATTGGACATTCATGCTGAGATGATGCTGAGGTAAGAGAAATGGAAAAAAAGTATTCAGAAAAGAAATGGAGGCAAAATCTATGAGGCTGATCATAGATTTTGCTGTTCCAGATGATGATCCAAAGCTATTTGTTAGTTTCTGTAATTTTGTAGTCAGTGTAGTTTTGTAGTTGGTTTGTAATCAGAGCCTAACTTCATGATAATTATGTGGCTCCATGTTCTGTATTAGTGTTTTATAGGTTCATTGTTAGAACAAAAGGTTCAGAAGAATTTTTAAGGAATATCAGGGGATCAGACTTCTCCAGGGATACCCCCTGGATAACTTAGACTTAGACAAAGTATACAGAATGCATACAAAACAATATTTCGATACATCCAGCTTTTCAAAAGTGAATGAGTAGCTTACAGCAATCAAATGAACATTTCCATTTATAAAATTCAGTAGTGATCAGAAGAATATGTTGCAAAATCAGTGGAAACATTGAGTTCTGTTTAAGAGGGGTTTGAAAACTTTGCCATATAGTCCAAATATGATGTTTACAAGTGTGATGCAGAGTCTCCTTTTGCGACTTGATTACAGTTTCAGCAGTTTAACAGTCTTATGGCAGCAGGGTAAAAGCTGTCACAGAACCTGGTGGATCTGCCACGGATGCTGCAAAGCCTCTTCCCAGAGGGCAGCAGGGAGAACAGTCCATGGTGGGGGTGTAAGGGTCACTGATGATGTTATGGGCATGATACAGGCAGCGCTGGGATCAAATGTCTTGAATGGAGGGGAGTGGAGCCCCGATTATCCTTTCAGCTGTTCTTACCACTCTTCACACGTTCTTCTAGTCTGAGGCACTGCAGCCTGCACACCATACATTGAGACAGCTGGTCATAATGCTCTCTCAATGATGGTCTCCTTAGTCTTCTCCACGTTCAGGATCAGGATGTTATCTCTGCACCAGCCCATGAGCGGCTCCACCTCCTCTCTGTATCCTGTAACAGCAGGGGGCTTAGGATGCAGCTCTGAGGAGAGCCCGTACTAAGGGTGATGACATCAGAGGTGTTCTGTCCAACCCATACTGACTGAGGTCTGTTTGTGCGGAAGTCTAACATCCAATTGCAAAGGTATAGAAGCCCAGCTGTTCCAGTTTTCATATTAGATGCTGTTGGAAGATGGTGTTGAAAGCTGAACTGAAGTCCAAAAACAGCGTCCACATGTGGATTTTTTTCCTCCTCCGTGGGTGTGCTAGGCTCAGGTGAAGAGCGGAGGGGATGTCTAATGGCCAAGCTAAGAAGGAATCCCCACAGACCACCGATCCCATCAATCCTGCTCTCCAACATCAGCTCACTGGAAAATACAATGGATTATCTCCAACTCGAGCTAACCCCATCATCTCATCAGGGCTTCATTCATCTACACCTGGCAACGCTCTTAACCTAGAAGGGCTGTTAGCCTGGAGGGGCATATATTATCGGTCAGGCTAGGCACTTTTTTGTACTTGTAGTAATTATCTTGGAGATTACAGAAAACCTGTTGTCAATACAATTTATTACTTCTGTTTTTTTGTTTGTGTTTTTTTTACTGGGTTGGCACTATTACAGTTTTTCGCCCAGTAGCTGATCCTATTCTTTGCAATTGCGAAGAAAGCTGGTAAACATAAAGATTGTTTCTGTTAGAACATAGATTGTGTTCCCTGTTTCCATTTTGGGGTGAAGCAAATCTATTTTAAAGAAAAATATCAGAGTTTATAGCTGCTTCACTCCTATCACTTGTTAGTGTAGCTCACAGATGCCCCCTACCACGATGTGGACATTTCTTCACCCTGGTCTTTCTGCTTTGTCTAAAACTGAACTTTTCCTGTCAGCCGTCTTCATGATCTTTTAACCTTATGCCTAGAAAGGTCCACGGGTGTTTCAGGTTGGTCTAGTTGCTAATGTGCTTGCTGGGGTATTGAGCTGGCTGTTGCTTAATGACTGTCACTCTTTGGCATTACAGAGAGAGTTAAATATTGATCTCAACATTCTTTTCAAGTCAACCTATTTTAATCTCATTTTAAACGTTATACTCTCTCTGCTTTTTCTCATAGTAGCTTTGCCTCGTCTGTTCCTGTTTGGCTGTGACGCCATCCTGGAGAGAAATATCAGCTGTGCTGCTGCCATCAACACCCTTGCTTATAGATGTTGGAGATCGGCCTGTTTTCCAGTATAGTCCTGTGTCTGACTGTGACTGGCTGGATGTGCTCTCTTCATCCTCTGACATGGGAGTTGGCTCGGAGCTCATCTGCCTGGCGGTGTGTTTCCTGGAAGGGGTCGCCTTTTACAGCTGCTTTTTGTATCCCTGTTTCTGTCTCATTGAAGCCCATAAGGCCTCGGCAGATGCTCGCTCACACTATGCCTGGTTCTGCTGCAGGTTTCTTCCTATTTTTCCTCTCCACTGTCGCTACAAGCATGCTTAGTGTGAGGGATTGCATTTGAGTCAATGAGTTGATGCAATCAACTGGTTTTCCTTAGATAGAAAACTTTGAATCAATTTGACTGGATGATCCGGTGAACTGTAAAGTGCCTTGAGATGACATGTGTTGTAAATTGGCGCTATATGAATAAACTGAATTGAATTGAATCTCCAAAGCATGTTTATCCAGTAAAAGCTTTCCAAAGCCATTGGTGGTAAAGGGAGGCATCTTTTGCTGATTAGCAGTGTTGACTTGTCCTTCCTTCAGGTTTGATTAAAAAAAAAGAGGGGAAATCCTTTAGAAGGAAAGGAAAAGTAACAATAGTCCTTGGGAGTTACTGATATGAGGTAGTCTAAGTTCAACACTATTTTGGCAAAGAGATAAGTTGAGAGGAAAATGTAGAATGAAATGAAAGATGGAACCTTTCTCTTATTGAAGAAGTTGTATTTGTTGCCTGCCACTTACCTGCTTAAAATTAGTTTGACACACAATGGCTGTTATTTCAAGAATTGTAACATTTTTATGGTCCTTCATCCAACTTTGACAATAATGAAACATTGTGGAAAGCCTTACTTGTGCAGTTTAACAAGTCTGCCTTTTCGAACACAGAAGATGTTTTATATTTGTCATCAGGGCTTCATAAGAAAAAAGCATTTTCTCACTTAAGAAAAACAGAGAAACTGACATGACCACCATACAGACGAGCTGACTTGGACTTTTAAAATATAATATTCTAAAGGAGGATGAGTAATAATGCATTATTTTAGCTAAAAAGAAATATAAAAAAATAATGTGAAGAACAAATGTATCTTTTGATCTGGATACCATAAAACCATCTCACTCAGACACTTGCACTAGTGTAGCAAGTCATGAGTTGGAATTGAGAGCACTGATTGATGGCATCTTACAGAGGAACATTTTATCACCTATCGGACAGCATCACACTTTTTTCTTTTTTGTTTAGATTGTTGTAGTAACTGTGTCATGATCTTGGCGCTGGTGACTGGCATGCTACTTATTTCATTCACCTGCCTAGCTCTGCCCAGTTTCTCATTACCATTCATCTGTTCCACCTTCTCCAGCCTCTATGAACCTGCCTTCTTCAAGACGTCACTGGCAGATTATTAGAGCCCTTGGTGAGAGTCTTCTAGTGTACCTAAGTGTTTCTGATTGTCTGATCCTGACCTGTTCTGCCTTTGGACCTCTGAGCCTGCCTGTTCCTATTCTGATCCATTTGCCTGACCTGTCTTCAGACGCCTGCTGGATTCTGCCAGTTTATCGCACCTGAAACTGATTACTGACACCGGCCTGGATTTCCCTTCGGATCTCTGATCTTCTGGCCCGGACCTTTGAGCACCGCCTCAACACTGGCTTTGGCTTCTCCCTCTGGATTATCTCCGGAGTTTCAACATATTGGACTCTCTTAGCAGCATCCGCCACATCTCTTCGGCAGCCGACGGTTTGGAACCAACCTCGTCCTCTGGCAAGGAATGAACTTTAAGACCAGAGGTTCCTGCCTTAGATGTCCTCGTTGTTCACTGCAGATCCGTTACTCTTAATCAACACTTTTTGAGATATCAAACTGTCTGTCTGCTTTGAAAACTG